CCTGTTTATAATATTTGAAAAAATACAATATATCTTCAAAAAATCACATAATCCTCTTGACATCTAGCGTGTTCATATATGAAGAAAACAAAATATATAACTTCAAAAATTTTCTAAGAAATAATAAAATATAATATATATAATTATAATTATCTAAATTAATGATAATGATTCATAATTCAAAATAATTTTAAATAAGATTTATGGACATTGTAAAATCGAAGAATTGAAGAAATCCGGTGTTAAAAAACTTCGCGATGATTTGCATCATTCATTTATGTGAAAAATTTGTAACACTCTAAACGATGCATCTCACTGTATTATGTGCACCTCGAAGGGGCACTTCTCGCACGTGCCTCTGTTTATAATTTACTTATTAGGCGTACAATACAGGTCGCATTATTTTACGCTCGCGTGATTCTTACATACATCACCGACGTTCGCCTATATCTTATCTGTTTTATTAATTTTCACCTCGCCCGCGCACACCGAACTCTGCCCTCAAAGGGGTCAATTGACTACTTGGTGTCAGACTAGATACATCTCGATATCGAGATTCATTCGCTCACGAATTTTGCAGAATGATATCGCATTTGCTCGAGTAAGACACAACAAAAAGATCACTCGGCCTGACAAATTCAATTGTTGATTAAAGAAAATAATGTCGTGTTTTCATAGAAATACTGAATTTTTACATTATCCTGCGGTTTCTAAACAAATATAATATAGATAAATTTAGACAGATTCACTATTTATTATCTATGTAGGTATTTTAGCATTCTCTCAAGCTGAAATTACATATATAATTTTAATATATTGTACAACATTTTGAAATTAAATTAATACTAAAAAACAAAAGAGAATGAAGAAAAAATAAAATAAAAAGGAGAAAATATATATGATTGTATACAACAAAAAAAAAATTACAAAAAAAATATAATGAAAATGAAATAAGCAAAATTATATCATTGTGTACAATAGAGGCATTTTGATTCTCACAATTAGTTATTACGTATACAGACGATTAAAGCAATCGGATAAATAATTATATAGGCTTTCAATAATTACAAATATCGTGCTAATAATAGTAGATGTGTAATTACTTCACTTTTGATATCCGTAAATATATCGTTCGTCACTTCTCGGTAATGTGAGACGAGAAATCGAAGAGATCTGTAAAAATTTATTGACTCACGTACTAAAAGCGAGCACGCAATAGCTGTTCGGAACGAAGGAGGAATAATATTCTTATCTCTCTTACGATTTTTTAGCTCCTCTTTCTTAATGCAGTCCAAACTTTCGGTAGATATGCAGATAATCATAATCCCGCAAGAATATTTAGCTCGCCTCGGGAAAACATTAAGGACGTAATCTATTCGAAAAGTTACTCCTTCTTCCTGAACTTTTTAATCAGCATTAATAATAGCATTATAATTAGAATTTTTTCCTACACTCCGTGTACAAATATATAATACTGTTATGGTATTAATATTAATACGAAATATACTAGAAAACAATGTATTAAATTTTTTTAATAAATATTTGTTTGAACAGTTACTAATACTAACTAAATGTTTACTAAATGTGAACGTGTATTCTTGTATCTATTTGATACAAGAAACATTAATTCGATTTAATCAAATGTATCATTTTTTATTGAGTAAATATGTATTTACTGTAAATGTTTAGTTAGTATACTATTTAAACAAATATTTATTAAAATTTAGTAAATTTTTTTCAGTGCAATCTTAAATATTTTTTAAAGTGCCATAATCTTTATGTAATGTTCAATTATCATTATTGATTGTCGGATTGATTAAGAATTGAAAAATAGGATTAACTTACCGAGGGCAGTAGAGGGTGGTCGTGGTCCGATTTGTTGGGGCCTGAACACGGCCCTAAATCCGGAGAGACACGAGCACGAGCAACACCTTTTTATCATAATTAGCCGTGAACACAAACGCTATTTGTACAAAAATTATATCCTCAAGACTGCTCGTCAATCATAAATCCATGTTTTATAAATTATGTCTGATAAAATGTTCATTAATTTCAATTTTCATCATTTTCTTATAAGTTTCTTTTGAGTGGCATTTACGAAGATTCCGCATCCGATCATGAAACTCTAGAAACAAACAGTTTTATAATTTGTAAACTTAGAAATAATTAAAGTAGATATAATTATTGCGTGAATAGTTATTATTTGTAAGTTTAACTAAATGTCTTTTGGTTTGAATATATAATCGAATGAATCGAAGATGTGATTAATTCTAAATCGGTCATTGAATACTTTTTAATCAAGAACGAGCGAGAATTGTTTAAAGCAACACACTTTAAAGCGTAGACAATTTATTGACGTTTGTAAGCATATAAATTAATGAAAGACATTTTAAATAAATTATTAACTGCATAATCGACAATTTATCCAGTATACACTGTGAAATATCTATCTTATAAACAGTATTACGACATTTTCAAGAAATTAAATGAATTAAAAATAGTGTATAAAGTTTTAAAGATATTTTTAAAATATCCTAAAGAAATTTACGTAGTAAAAATTTATGAATTAAAGATATCTTTATCAAGCAATATTTTATTTTATCATATTACTTTGACAGTCTCTACTACATAATTTTAATTATATTTTGTCCTAATTAAAACATAATAAATTAATAACATTATTTATCTCTTTTAATAAATTACTTTTAATAAACAATAAATTTTACTAAAGATTTGTAACAAACTTTGTCTAAATTTGTATCTGGTGTTATAACTAAGGTTTTTGTTACTTAAAAATAAATTAGAAAATTGTCGTAAATCATATTTTTGTAATTTACAACAAAATTTATTAAAAATGGTATATAAAATTTTTTATATTTAGTGAATTAAAATATATATATATATATTAATTTTCTTATTTTTAAAATATATATGTCAGTTTTCTACAAATATGTATGTATATATATTTGTAAAAAAAAATATAGATATATAAATTTATTCATAAACACATACATATTAATATCATTTAAATTTTCCCGTAATTATAAAATTTCTTTTAAAACAACTTCGAAATATAATTCTATACCTGTGGAATAATAATCTAAGATATCTTTCTTTTATAAATGAGACTTTGCACGATCTCACATCACTGTGCACATCCCGAGCGCGTGTGTACGAGATGATTAAAACAGCGTGTCAGCCTCCGTGCTGAGTTGTCGAGCGACTGTCACTGAAAATCAGCTGTCATTAGCAGCGAAGCAAACGACAGTATCTCCCGCCAGTCTTCGATTAACTTTTAGGAGAGACGGTTTAACAGTAATGATATACGAATGTATACTAATGTAGCACCTTTTATGCAATACTGTTTAGACACGCCTCTTCAGATAGTAAAGTGGATGCTGCGCTCATTAATGACTCCGTTGCACAGCTCCTACGTATTTTTACTATGTAAATTGCTATGTTATACCGCCGCGTTGTTTATAAAACGTTACAAGGATTAAATATCAATCTTCATCCAGAAAAATTGGATCGTACGGAAAATTTCATTTTAAGAAAAATCGATTTTATTAGAGAAATGAAATATTCATTGGAATATAATAATATAACTATTGTGCTTGTTAATATCATAAAAAATTAAATTGAGAATAACAAGATAATCTAGATCACACTACTTATATGAATAAAGCAAAGATAAGAATAAGACTAATAGTCGATACGATTATTTTCAAGAAATTAAATGAATTAAAAATAGTGTATAAAGTTTTAAAGATATTTTTAAAATATCCTAAAGAAATTTACGTAGTAAAAATTTATGAATTAAAGATATCTTTATCAAGCAATATTTTATTTTATCATATTACTCTGACAATCTCTACTACGCGCAGTCAAGATTAGGGCCCATATTCATAGTCAGACCTTGTACTTAAGATTTCCTTAAATTTATCTTTAGATGCTCAGTAGTCAATGAAATAATTCGTAGAGCATCTGAAGATAAATTTAAGGAAGCCTTAAATATAAGGCCTAACTATGAATACGGGCATAGATCTTAGAACATAATATTTTTATATGTAAATTCTGAATACAACTTTCAATTATTTTTCGTATAATAAATCCTTTACAGGTTTTAAAGAACATTAATCGCATCGTCATCAAACCAACGATTACTTTAATTGTGATACTATTTCAATTTCAGTTTATGATTGCATTTCAAGTTCGACAGTAAAGCTACGCGCAGTTTATATAACTGAAAAATGTATTTATTGTAGAATTTATATATAAAAATATTATTAAGCACTAAGATCTAGCCTTGACCTATTGTTTTTTCTTTTTATTTAAATTAAGAAATTTGTTAAGTCAAGTTGAATTAAAATTAAGTAAAAATAATTTAAGGAAAAATTTAAATTAAATTAGAAAATTTGAAAGTCTGCCAAATGTGAATCCCTCTTTTACAGGTTGAGATATACGCGCGCGCAAAATTGTATAAAATTTAAAATAATATACACATAATTAACGATTTTATATATATATTTCTTCCTCACATCGTTTATTATATACATATATATATATACATAATAAACGATGTGAGGAAGAAATAATTTGATATATGAATTGCTATGTCGCGCCGGTATTAGTTAATAGTTAGTGTCTGATAAAAGGCATACTATGTAGACGTGCGCAATAGCGTGAGTAAATGATAGTGAGGATAATACATATTTTTAGCTCTTACGTAACACACCACACAGGAATTCGTTCCTTGAATTTCGTTAAGTCAGTTCAGTTTCCGTGGCGGACATGCCGGGACACTTATAAATCTTCTCCTATTACTCTCTCAGTCAAATTTAGAATAAGTGTAGAAGTACAAAATGATGAAAGCTCCTAAATAAACAACGTCGTAAGAACTGAGAAAAACAGACTCTATATAATGAAAACTATTACATAATCAGAAAAATATAACGTAAAAAAGAAAAATTATATTCCTAATTGAATTGAATGATTGCAGCTTTTATTTGAAAAAACCTTAATCAGCTTTTACGTTTTGCTTGAGAAGCGATGATTAATTGACATTTAACACTCTTCTATCATCTTATCAATACAAAAAATACATAGATAAAAATATACAAGAAATATAAATCAGAAAAATTACATTTGATATAAAATTTCATTGCATATACATTCCAATCACGCTATTTACATATCAATATATTGTATTATACACTTAACGACTATCCAATAGGAAGTTAAAATCCATTGTAGAATTATCATCTTGCTGCATTTTAGAAGTATCTTGGTTATCCTCTATCACAATTGTTCCAACATGATTCACTGTAACGTACAGATATGAATATTCGTAATTGCCAGACGCGTTCTGTAATTAAAATTGAACATATCATCAGTAAACATATCATTTTCAACTACAAACTCGCAAACTTAAGCCTGAGATACAATGAAAAGCATAGGCAATAGGAACAGGATGTAACAAATTTCAACCTATTAGAAATCATGTATTCTTCATTGAAATCTCTTATCTTCTCTATGTGTTCCTGTTGTCTTTTCAATTGTACATTAAGTCTTACCTCTTTCACTTCTGCATATACTGTTCCCTGCCTCCTCGTTCCTTGTACATAAAATCTTATTCTCATATACTTCACGCCATCTTTAATGTAATACATATGACTGAAAAAATAAATACAGAGATATCGCAACAGGATTCATATACAAAATGTATCTATATGGTTTATATATAAAAATGCTGTAAACAAAATTCTTTATCTGGACGTACGTGATATGTCTTCTACGTCCACGTCGAGTTTCCTCTCCAAAAGCCTTTACAGGTGCTCCGAGAATATCCATGACTTTCGGATGTTCTATACAACGGACACGAGCTTCGCTGTAAACAGAGTATGGACTTTTGCTGGAAAACAGCTCCGAAAATAGGGCGTACAACATAAAAGCTGTAACCCCAATGCCACCTATTATTACTCCAAGATATCCAGCAGATTTCAAGTTTTCTTTAACTAAAAAAAGAGAGAGGACGAATATAATCATTATACGACAATAATACATAACATGAATCATGTAAAATTTACCTACTTCTGCAGTGCCAATCTGTACCTGATTATTAGTTTCACTGGAGTCTACCTTAGTTACAGATTTCTTCGTCGAATAGCAAACACTGTGTTTAATGCTAGGAACAATACTAAGACAATATGAGGTGTTTGGCATATGGGTGATCAAGTGCCTTCTCTGAAGAATGTGATTTAACGCTCTTACTGACGCCATATTCTAAAATAAAAAAATATTTTTTAATAACACAAATATTAAACTCTATAAGCTTAATTTAAGGTTAACCGGTTCTCTGCCATGCAAAAGTACCAGCAAGCCAATGTAAATATATACAGTAATCTCTTGTCCTATTCAAATTATATTATTCTCTTTATCATTATTAGCACAATTATTAACACTTATATGATATAATTTACGTACTGACTCATATACAAGAAAAGAAATACTAAAAATAAGTTCTTATAAGAAAATTCTTTCAATCACTCTATTGCTACTTGCCAGTAGCCATGGACAGTATTTTGATACTCAAATCTCATTCAAAATCACCTTGATGATATTATATAAACATTCCATCGGTTCCATTGGGATGGAAAAATCATTGGGATCTAAGATTTAAAAAAAAAATTCAATTTAAATACAAGAATAAGCCGATGTTTATAGAAGAGCAGTATTCTAATTTTACATTTAAGATCATTTCAAATATGATCTCGAAATGCTACAATCATTGGCTGCGTTTAGTAAAGAAAACTAATTTAATCAGTGCTTAGTAATTCTTTAATTTCTTACGATTGGTTCCTACACTTAGATCCAGCGAAGAGCTAAAGGAAAGAACCAATCATATTAAAGAATTACTAAGCGCTGATTAGTTTTCTCTGTTGATTGCAGCCATTGGCTGAATGGAATGAAATTGTAAGATCAGAGTTAAGACGATCTTGAATACAAAATCAGATTATTGCTAATAATTCTTAAAAATGATAATTTTGATATTATAATTTTAATGATCCTTTTCAAGTTTTCTAATCAAATGATTTATATCTCAAGATCATATTTAAGGCTGCGTTTGGAAACATCACTCGAGTGTCCTCGTGTATCATCTTATCTTTATTTATCATTAGGTGAACAAGGATAAAACGATACATGAGGGCACTCTAGAGACACTATAATAAGAGACTGGCATAAGTTCTAGTTGGATAGAAAATGGCGTTCATAGGACGATAAGTCATAGGACGTGTTCGCAACTAGGACGGAAAAGCAGAAAAAGTAGGAAAGCAGAAGCCAATCAGAATTCGGGCTGTACTATCATCTATTACCAGCACGACTTTTGATTGGCTTCTTCCATTCCATATCCAGCCAATCAAAAATTAGCCCATCTATGCCAGTCTCTTATTATAGTGTCTCTAAAGCTGGAAACACAATGGACACAGGCAATAGGCACAGGTAACAGGGAATAACGAGCCGTCCAATTAGAGTTGTGGGATATAATATCGAACTTATACCCCAGAGCTCTGATTGGACGGTTCGTTAGTCCCTGTTGCCTGTGCCTATTGCCTGTGTCTATTGTGTTTCCAACTTAATCCTACATTGGCTGCGTTCAGCAGACTCAACAGTTTTGCAACCGTTTTATGATTGTCTGCTGAGATAGGACCATTCTTCTAGATCTAAAAGTATGATCCAATTAGCGCGAAGGAAACTTACAACAGTTGCAAAACAAACATTCTGCTGAACGCACCCATAGGCTGCGTTCAGCAGAACGTTTATTTTGCAACTGTTGGAAGTTTCCTTCGCGCTAATTGGATCATATTTTTAGATCTAGAAGAATGGTCCTATCTCAGCAGACAATCATAAAACGGTTGCAAAACTGTTGAGTCTGCTGAACGCAGCCATTATGGTAGTAGCAGAGCATAAACTTGAAAAATCCTATAAATTCCCTATATCACATCCAATTAGCGTCCTCAACGAAATCCAAGTTGGAATATCGGCTTAAAATGATCTTGATCATCAAAACAACTGTCTTGTTGTTGAATTATTTGACTTGAAAGGTTATAACAGCAGAACAATAATAAAGAAGCTTCCTAAGTCGAATCACGCTTAGATAAGATTATTAATGAAGACAGCACATCAGAGATTGGTCATGGTTGGCGATCGTGATGGGTAAATACAACGTATCAAAATTTTGTATATTTACATCAAGATTTATTAATTTCAAATAACTTTCTCAAGGTGAATTACGAATTATATTTTGTGATAGCCAGGATTTTGATTACTAGAGAAAATTTTCAAATAAATCTAATTATCTCTTATCTAAAACAAAACATTGCATACCCGTGAAATTTATTTCCAGACTGAAAGAATTGTTGAGGCGCAGACTAGTTGAGTGTGGATGGCGGGATCAAGTGAAGCTGATCTCAAAGGAAATAATAAAAGAGCATGGCCATGATATCTCTTATGACACGCTGTTGTCCACAGTGACGAGCAGAGCTCGCACCCTTGTGCCGGACTCTGTGAAGAAGGAACTATTACAAAAGATAAAGAATCAACTGTTGGCTCAAGAGGAGAAGCTGAAAATTATGACAGATCGTTAGGAATTGTATCATTATTAATCAATTTCTCAACGACATAATTATGTTAGATATACTTGTAAGAATTGTGACAAACATGAAGAACTTTTTTGCGAATTATGCTTTTTTAACAACTTATTGCGTGACACAATATAATTATTAAGTTAAATTGTATTCAATATTTAGAAACAACTTTTTATAAAGTGCAAAATGTGATATTTACTTAATTATATGTCTAATAGGTTATCTAATTAACTGGTGAAAATTTTTCTTAAAATGTTTATGTGAATTGGAACACTTAAGAAATACTTGGACTGAGAAAGCCTATGTGTTACTTCTTAAAATTTTTCATGTGTGTGAATTCTGAAATTTTAAAAGATTTTCAGTCTATAATTTATGAACAAATACCTTAAACTTTTTCAGAGTTTATAAGCTTTCAGAAATTATAGAATGAAAAATTTTAGAATATGTAAGAATTCCAGAAAGAATGCAGATTTCTTAGCACTTTTGAAAGGTTTTAATTTATATTAAAAAATTAAGAAATTTTCTAAAAAATTATATGAAAATTATAAAAAATTCTGAAAAAAATTTTCGCCAGGATTATGTTTAAAGTAAGATTGAAAGGATGTAATCTGCAACAATATTTTATAGATATTCTTAAATGTACAAAATATGTGAAAATGGAATATAATTTAATTTCCTAAGTAAAGAGCTGAATGAAAACGTAGTTTTATTCGATACTAACGTTCGTCGCCAGCAGACGGCGACACGACGCAATTCCAAAATAAGTTAGGTTAGAGTCGTGCAGTAGAGTGACAGTGTTTTGCGATTCGTACATTTTTCGCCTGTCCAATTTTTCTGCAGCATCGGCGAGTCTTAATCGGTGATACTACCGTGATAATTTAGCGTAGCCGTTAATAGAAAGAATGCTGATAAAAGTGAAGGTAATTATGCTGGTCCTCGACTTGTCCACCGCGAAATTCACGCCGGCTCGTAACTCATTTTAATTAATTTTCGTTTCAGACACTTACGGGGAAGGAGGCAAGTATCTTGAAATCAAACGGTTTTACAAGTAACGCATGTGATCGGAATACAAAAGCCCCATCCTTTTTACCAATGACAGATCGACTTCGTTCGATTACAAAAAAACAATCTGCAGTCCATGCAGATTATGAAACTGTTAATTGTTTTTCTAAATCTAAGAAAAAGATGAAGAATAAGTTGAATCGAGATATTGAATTAATAAATAAGACATTCACATGAAAAATAGCACGTTATACTTGAAGAAATATTAGCTCAGAGAACGAGATGTAATTCTCTGAGCTAATATTTCTTCAAGTATAACGTGCTATTTTTCATGTGAATGTCTTATTTATTAATTCAATATCTCGATTCAACTTATTCTTGATCTTTTTCTTAGATTTAGAAAAAGAAATTGAACTAGATTGAATTTAATCTACATTGATAGAAACTGGCATAAGTTGTATCTAACAATAAATAAAAATAAACATTTATTACGTATAAGTCTCCAGTTAAATATATAATGTATAATTTCTTCAGATTGAAATAGATATAGAACCAACAGACAAGGTAGAGAGAATTAAAGAAAGAGTGGAAGAGAAGGAGGGAATACCACCTCAACAGCAGCGATTAATATTCTCTGGCAAACAGATGTACGTATAAGTATTATTATGATTTTAACCATAAAAATATAAGTATTTTCAAATCTAACGGGCAAGTAAGAGTAACTCCTTTTTTATCATGATTTTATGACGTACATTGTATGAGACAAAATTTCTATAATTTGTGATTGATGAAGAATTAAATTTGTGATTTTAGAATTATTATATTAACAAAGAAGGTCCAGTACTGCTAGTCGCAGATCCTGGCTAGTGAATATCATTATGAAGCATGTATCAAAGTGATTGCGGATATATAGATTGTTGCCTCTTGAATGAATTACAGTATGATACACAGAGTATGCAACATCTACGACGACAGAGTGACTAGGTATTGATATGTATGGAGTTTTCACAAGTAGTAGTTAATTCTGAGGCTCATTTCTATGTTAAAAAACATTTACATGAGCCCCAAACATAACCACTATCATGTCTGAGGTTCATGTGAATGTTTTTCAATATAGAAATGAGTCTCGGACATAATTAAGATCCTGGGAGAGTCCTATATACATCAATACTTAGTCACCATACATCTGCAATGTTGACACTGAGTAGAGTCAACGTGATGCAACAAATGCTTTAAAACGTTTTTTGATTGGTCATTTTGTAAGATTCTTTCTTCTAATTAGTCAATCAACTGCTTTAAAGCATTTGTAATGAGACTTTGACTGTAGCCTCGATGTATCATCAGAGTTTCTTCGGAAGGCAACGACTTATATATCTATGATTATCTCGGTGCGTGCTTTTCAACGATTTATCACTTGCGGGATCAACAACTAGCAGTTGGTCTCTCTTGTAAATGCAATTTTAATATCCTAATTTTTACGCACATTTACGTGAAATTCTTTGAAACATGGCGTTACGCATAATCCGACATTACAAGTAGCGCAATAGTAACGTGTCTCTTTCCTAAATCCCTTTAATGTGCACATTTTGCACCTTCTCATGGCACAGATCTTCCTAGCAGTCGAAGGTATATATTCCAGGTGATGATGCGTTATGTTCCATTCCTCTCGAATTTGCATTCCTTTAACAATAACATGTTCATTACTTTCGACTTTATGTTTAAGACTGAATTTTTTTGTTAAATGAAAGTAGAAATAAATAAATTACATATAAAAAAATCTTATATATTAATATGACTAATCAATTCTCTTCCAAAACAAGTATAAAGAAAATTCGAAATTAGAAAGATGAATTGATTTTATATAAATAAGAGAAGACTAATTTTAATTATTCAGATGTGTATGATCAATTAATTGTAAGTATAAAATATTGAAAACATGAGGGAAGTTATATTTTTATTTCACAGGAACGATGAGAAGACTGCGCAAGATTACAAAGTCCAGGGCGGTTCGGTGCTGCATTTGGTACTTGCGTTGAGAGGAGGCTGTAGATATAACATTCCTCATTTATAAACGACAACGAGAGAACATTAAGGAATTGCGAGAGCCAGAGAACGGAAAAAAAAATAAAAAAGAACAAATGTTTATCATCACGCATGTGGATATTTCCTAAAGGGACTTGAAACTCTATGTTATTTTAAATAGGATAACATAATCATGTGATCTTTACAACCTAAATAAATATTTAATAAAGTAATTTAATCATGAATCTAGCACTGCTATTTCTATTTAAAATAATTTCTTATGTAGAGATGGAAACACACATATGTTACCTTTATTATTGCAGCATTAAAAAGTAATTTTATATTTAGGGAGATAAAGCATCATGTTATCCAAACTATGTAATCAATTACACAGTCATTTATTTAATATGTGACTTTAACACTAGAAGGGCCGGCTATTATGCCATACCCACAAAGGCCACCATCGTCAATTTGACGGCACATTACCGACCTATAATAAATTGCTTAAATATGGAATCTTGTGCATTTGATTCAAATAATACTTTATTAAAAATTCTTGTTAATGTATATTTATTAATTAATTAGAAAAACATTTGTAACAAACAGTGAAGCTTGGGTAATAAGATATTGGGGATTAAACTCGCTCTGCCGTCAATTTGACGGCCTTGGCCCTTCTAATGTTAATAATGATAAATACAAATCATAGCAAGCATATAAATTTAAGAAATCTCAAATTATAATATGTACTGAAAGAAAATTTTTTTATTTTTTGAAAAAAAAATACATGAAAAAAACTATAACATCTATAATACTTTTTAAGGAAATAATTTATTTATTTTACATATGTTATTAATAAATGATAAAGAAAAGAACGAGACCTGATCCGAATTCACAGCATTAAATACTACTTCCTACAAATAATAAATTATTCCATGCATTAAATATTAGACCTGAACTTTTGCACCAGTTCATCTTTCTTCCTTTTCTCTCCAGGAGGAAAGAAGAGGAAGAAAGATGAACTAGTTCAGGCAAAAATTCAGGTAAAAAGAACAGGCCTTATGTATCAATTATCAACACTACTCTCTAGTCACGACTGCAATTGTTTTCTATTTAAATCCTTGACGATCACACTTTTGGTTTGAAATTTATTACTTTTTAAATATAAGTAGCTTAAACTACAATGTTTGAATACCTTGCTAAACCGGTATTCAGGAAATATAATCAACAAATTAAAGATACTGTAATTTAAAAAAATTCGCGACTAGAAATTACTGCAAAAATTTTTAATGTGGGAGCTCGATTCGTAAAAATCTTAAAAGATATCAAAAAGTTACAATATAGCAAGCTAATATGATAGAAAAAAATATAAATTAAAATTGTAAAAACATATTTCTAAAAATAATTATTAAATTATAATTAAAATTAAAGTTCTGAGCATTATACTTCTATTCCAATTATTATATCGCTTCTTTTCTTTCATCTGTATTATAAATAGAATTTATAGCCTAAAAATAAATTAATTAACTACAATATTTCTGCAATTCGCGCGACTTCAACCTTTACAAATAATTATTACATAATAATTGGATATCTAATAATTAACTACAAATAATTATTAGATAACTCATTACAAACATACGAATTATAAACAAACGATTTCTAGTTCTTAAAAATATTCTTAAAAAGAAACAAAGACGAGAGGAATAAACTACAACGATTGTTGATTCGCGTAAGGATAAATGCTCTCTCATTTCTCGACATTTTTTTCTTAAATCAAGATTTAAGCAATTTATTTAAATCGAAATCATTATAATAACAATACAATAAAATTCTGATCATAAATTTTCTAATGATAGTTCGGGAAAAAGCTAAGTAGATATAAGGTACAAAGCACTTTATTAATCAATAATGGAATTGCCGCGCCAATTCGCTAATACTACATGTTGGGGTTGTGACATTAGGCTTGACAAGCTTCCGGTCAGTTTCTGTGGTATCTGCTGTTGTGCGTCGCCCGACTCCATTTGGTCTTAAAGACACGCTGGCAGATGTTGCAGTAGACCGCGGAGTTCGGCGAGTCCTCGTGCTTGGATGTGATATGCCGCAGAAGCGCGTGCTGCGTCGTGAACGAGACGCCGCACTTGTCGCAGTACGTTATCGTGTGGACGTTCCTGATGTTCATCGTCGCCGTCTTCGACGATTCTATACAAATGCATTTTTTAGTTTATCCAGGTTTCTGGTCTCTATGCCCCGCGTTACCATTAGATACTGCATGTAAATAGTATAACTGTAAATATATCGGACTCGTGACATTGACAAACGATCGTCTATGAATGAGTTCTCCATGACTTGCAGAAGACTAGAGAGTTCCGACGAGTTAAGTGCTGCACGGACAGCAGAATCTTGTTCCTTCATCAATTTCAAGTAAACTTTTACCTAACAAGGGGCCTGTCATAAATGTCCGTAACCGATTCGATCTTCCTTAAAATGTGTTAAATATAAATTCTAAGAGACACGGTATTTTTTATATCGGTCCAATTTGAAATTTAAAGGGTTAAACGACCTCTTAAAACTTAATGGGGATAGAGATATTTTCAAAATATTAAATTTTTTAAACAATCGAAATATAGCTATTTCTAATTGTATAGTTTATATACAACTATCAAATGTAAGCGTTAGCTTTTTGAAAGGTTGTTTCACTCCTTAAGTGTGAGATTTGAGCCTATATATAAAAAAAAAATACGTATCTCCTAGATTTTTGTATTTAACAACATATTTCAAGAAGGCAACAACATATTTCAAATCGATTCCGGATAGTTATGATAGGTAAGAGAGAATTTAAATTAAAAAAAATTGTTATAGTTAATCTTTCGGAACTAACACCAAAATCTATTATATAACACACTTATTACGCTGAAGTTGTAAGATCCATTTAATTTATGTTAATTAAAAGACACTAATTAATTTCAAGAAATAAAAATGAGAATAATCTAAATTTGTGTAAATGAAACATCAAAAAAATTGAGTTGTTAGATATTTTTAACAAAGAAATTTATAATTAAGTGGGTCCAATAGATTCGCCATCACCGGAATTAAGGTTAATGTAAGAAAATTCAAAAGTCATTTCTTCGTTCCCGATGATGTTGCATGATGGATTTGGCGATAGCAATCTTGGGAAGGAAAACGGTTGTACATGTATCAACATTAATTATTTATTTTAACAGGTACATTGAAAAAAAAGATTGACTGCTGCAGCAAATTAGATGGTAAAATATGGCATAGCATTTTTAATTGGTTGCAGCAATTAATTTTTGGTTGTGTTAGTCTATCGGAATCCTATACTGACATTGCAGATAGGCTAACGCAACCAAAAATTGGCTGCTGCAGCCAATTAAAAATGCTATGCCATATTTTACCATCTAATTTGCTGCAGTAGCCAATCTTTTTTTCAGTGTAGCGATATCAGTTTATATGAAAATTAAATCACACTCCCGTTAACGATAATACCAACGTGTCATTGTATTTAATCGTCCACTTATCATGTATTCGCAATTATCGTCCTAGCAATCCATACTTTTAAAGTCTAATAATGTAAAAGCAATTTCCATTACCTGCTGGTCATAATAAGATTCCGTAAAAGTCCTGGCTGGTCACATCGTTATCTTGTCGTTGATCTGAATTTATGACGGCTCTTTCAATTGCCGTCGAAAAAAATGGCAATGATGCGATATCACTAATTAAATTATCCTGATAAAATGAGTTTATTGAAATAATTAAAATTAAATAATTAAACAATGCGAGGTACGAAACTAATTGAAGTCTAGGGGAGAAAGTAATGGTGGAGGAAATTTTTATCTACTTTTTCTCTGAAAATAATTAATTCTTAATAGATTCTTCTGAAAATAATTAATTAACGCATTAAGGATAGAACGCAACGCAATATTAATTATTAGGGATGCAACGAGTATCCAGTCTATCTAACTTTTACAATCCAGACATTTCGGCCAGTATACTTCGCTCAATATTTTTTCAAAGCATTTAGTTTTACTATTAACTCATAAGATATTTAGCTTTAGATATAGATAGATTTAATACAGATGTTGTTGATTCTTCATAAAAAATTTATAGAATAGATTTTTATTAAATTTATTTTGAATAATTAACTTTATTAAGAATCAATAATAAAATATTGAAAAATTGTTTAATAAACATTACTTATTAAATTTTTATAGCATACTTATAATGATTAATATTAAAAAATCCTCTTTCTTATTGTAAAATAATTAGATTTTCAATTTTTAAATCCCTTAATGCATAAAATTCGAATATCCGGCTTATCCGGTAGCAATATAAATGAATTATCCGGTATCCGATTATCCGAGAAATCATTATCCGTTGCATCCTTATTAATTATATTTATCAATCACTAATTCTCTGTACACGCATGTCCATCAGAAATTCTTTTATTTACATTACTGCGATAACATCTGAAAGCGTATAGTCTTACACGATCTTTTAATTAAGTTACAAGCTCACAATTACGATACCGAACGTAACACGTACCTGAATAGAGAACGTAATATTTTATTTCGTGCTACCGACAGTGTCTCACGATATCTACAGTTAATTTCTAAACTCGCAACACACATCCGCTGTATATTTTTCGTAAAGAGATTAACCCTTCCGGGCCGAGACGGATAATTTTTTTTGCCGTTATTTCGAAACCACCTTTTTGCGATCCTCGTTTGAACACTACGGTAGATCCTTTGAATGAAAATACGAAATTGTTTGGCTTCCATGAAAGCTTTGGTAAAACTATGCCTCGGAGGATTAGAATAGCTTTTCTTTTTGCGACAGCGCGTTTTCGATTTCATATCGCAACACACAGAATGGCAGCATATTCTATCAATAATTTTTCAGGATCGATAAAGGCAATTTACATAAACTACTTTTTATAGAAGAGTAAAATATGTAATTCGTTCACACACACACACACATATATAAATTTATTAAATTATATTATGTCTTTTAATCGAGTTTGATGAGGATCCGATGCAGTATTGATGGGTGCAATGTTAACATCCTTCAAAA